AAACTATGCCTACTCAGCTTCGTGTAGAAAATTAGACCAGACAAGTTTTTCCATGGATTGCCACACGAAGCTAAGGAGGAAAGCAATTATTTTGAGCACTCAGTTCACATGGTTTTAGATTATAACAACCCGGTATTAGACTCAATCAACGTTGTTGTTTAATGAAAATACGTTGCATTATGGTTTGTTTATTGTTATAGTTTATTGTTATAGTCTTTTTACTTATGGTTGCTCTGAAAAGGGCCGTTTGTTTTGAATATTTTCGGGGTTTTTGATGATGTCATCGTTGATACGAGGTGTACGTAAAACCGAAGGTTCGTACAACTGGGGTACGTAAAAACGAGGTTCTACTGTACTACAAGTAAAGGGTAGATATGTTCTACAAGTAATAACTATGTATCATTTATAGCTTACCTCCCACTAGAATTTAAGAATTTTGATTTTTCCTTTTCCAATTCACGCAATTCTTTTCGTGTTTTAACTTCTGTCTTGAAGCAACTTTCACTTAACTTTGACTGGTTCACACACTATAAATGAAAAAATATATCGGTGAATATAAAAGTTTGTGGTATTATGTACTACCTCTCAGATTGAAAGTGTGTGTGACAGGAGCATCATAAGACCAAGATGGGAGGGATGGCAAAAAACATCATATCACATCATAGCTATAACATTGATAGTTATACCTATGACACACACGCAGGTGAACGAGATGTATGGGATGTAAGAACACCATGGGTCAGTAGTTGACTCACACACAGGCAGACAAAATGGGAGGGATGAAAAGAACATAATGTTTGATGTAGATTAAATATGCAGATGGACAAAATTGGAGGAATGACAAAAAACATCACAGGTTGATAGATATGAATTAAACAGACAGCTGGACAAGATGGGAGGGATGGCATGATCATCATAGATTGTTAGATAGGACTCATACACAGAGTTGATAAGTGCTGATGTGGCACACTCACAATAGTGCTGAGAGGCCGGGGCTTATAAGGAAGGTGTCCCGAGGCCCAGGGCAACAGGGACCTGGGATGCTATGTAAAAAATAATAAAATAAAATAAATAAAAATTATTAAATGTATACATTCTTCCAGTATCATTTATGTGTTTTTCCTACAAGACTCGTAAATGAAGCTGATCGTTTATCGAGAAAAATATATTAAACCATTGGTGGATTAAGGAGGGGGGAGAGGGGGTGCCCTTCTCCCTCCACCCAAATTTTTCAAAATTTTAACAAAAATTGTGAAAAAAAGAAAATTCTACTCAAAAAGACAAAATGGGGAATTGGCCAGAACAATGTAGGTTGATAGACGCTATTATATACCGCATACATAGATTCCAGGCATCTGATTGGTTAAAAAGTGGGTAATAACTTCAACCATCACTCACATGACATAGGTTGAATGATAGTTCATAAAGTTACTGGGGAAAAAATACTATCACAGTTAATGATAGTACTTTTTTTCAATGTAATCTCTAGGCCCCATTTACCTCGCTTTGTAATTTTTGGCACGCACTGTGTGACAGCAGAGGACTGACTCTTACGACACCAGATAGATGGTAAAGTTCAACTGAATCCATTAACCACTGGATTGCTCATAGTAGAGTGGCATCTAAGCTTAAAAAGCACTTGTAATCGAGAAAATTCTAATTTTAAGTTTAAATTTGCGTATAGCCTCCCAAAGGTAAGACTGTATACTATAAAGGGCAGTCTAGCCATGGGAGCTAAGCTTCCTGGGATGTAACATTTCATACTTTTTGTCAGGAGTTTTAAATGCAATTTTAAAATGTTTTAGCAGTAAGACAATATTGTTATGTAACTGGAAGATGTCACTGTACTGCCTTCAACCTTATTACAAAATGTCTTATATTTACAGTGTAGACTTATTTTAGATATATTTTTGGAGTGCTACAGTCTCTTGTCTATCATTCTTTATGTATAGTTATTTAAAATGGTACCTTGTTGTGGCCACTCGCACTTTTATGGTTGTCAAAGTCGGCACGTTTGTAGAATTGCTGATTACAGCAATCGCAGTAGAAATTCACCTTTAAGTCAGCTAATGAGTCATGCTTACCAGCAGGTGCAGTGAAGACTCCTTCACCTGTAATATAACTACTAAGAGGTTGGTTTTAGATTTTTAGACTTACCATGTATTCTCGCGTATGTTAAGGCTTAAAATAGCAAATTTTGATCGAAAACCAAGGGGTCGTCTATACGTGCAACAAATACAGAGTTTTTGTTTTTAAATCTTGTTCGTTATGTACAGATCGTCCATAAACACACAACTTCACTACTGAAACGATGCTACAATACAGTAGGCCTACTAGTACTAGTAACTCTAATAGTATCAGGGATGTCACCAGCTTTTTGGAGTGCCGGTCGGGGGGGGGGGGCTTACTGTAGGCCTAATTAAATTCAATAGTTGACATGCTTTGTTTTAGATTAAAAAATAATAATGAACAAATGCCGGCGATAAAGCGTCGATCCGACTGTACCCAGCCGCATTGTTTGCCGTAATTTCACATGTTTGACGATTACCACGTCTACCACGATGAATGTGTATGTCACTGATTCATGTGCACTCATTTATTTATTTTTTGTCCATTTACACATTATATATCAATTATAACTAAAAGTGAAAAACTTGAAAATGAAAACAAAGTAAAGAAATAAAACATAAATCAGGTTTCGTAAATTTTTAATAATCTTCCTGCCCCGGATCATGCTCTCATAATAAAACACTTGAATGTTCACAATTTCAACTTTAACCGTTGAATGTGTACAGCAACCGTGTCATGCCAGCCCACGACGTTCGCTATGACTCAACTGGGCCTAGGCTGTTCAGTTAGCGATGAATAGCAGGGCAGTGCAGTATTTTGTTACAATTAACATAACCACGGAAACATTTATTGTATTCTTCTTGTCTTTATCTATCAATTTAGCTTGTCTATTGTGTTTAGGTAAACTAATTATTTTGTTACAATTTGTAAACTGTTGAAATAATAGTGGTGGTCAGGAGCCTGTAAATCCTGGTCGGAAATGTCGAGTGATGGACGGGCCCGTCCACCGCCAACCAGCGTGGTGACATCCCTGACAATGATGTTATATACTACAGTAGTTGGTATAGGTTTACATCAAGTTTATTAAAATGCTTGCTATGCATGAACTAAAAAAATATTAATATCGCCAGTATCCACAAAGAGGCGGCTCATGGCGCTTGATATAAGAAAATGTAGCTCAATCAGTGACTCTTCACCTGTAAGGATTTCATTTCATTTCTTTAGGCACGATGTCCATTAAACGAAAGGGGACTGAATGAACTAGTTCACCGGGGTAACACTCCTACACTTCTCGAAGGACGTACTGGGTTCTTTAAAGCACACACGAGCACAATGCTTACACTGGGCCTACGGTTTAAAGTCCTTATCCGAGAAGACTTGTTCCATCACCACTGGCGAATGAGCCGTCCGAACCAGCACCAATATTATAGCTGAAGCTTACGGTGCACCTGACTTAACCGCTCGGCCAATCAACTAACTCAGTTCATATGTACTACCCAGGAAACTGGTACTAGCAACTCTCGTCCTACAAAGTCTGTATGAACCTGTGCACTGAGGTATTCCCCTACTCATCTTGAATAATGTACTGGTTTCACACAAGCCAACCAGAACCACCAGAACAATGAGTCAGCCTGCCACTGGATCTTTAGCACCTACATTAATGATGTAGGCTGTGGAGCCCCTGCCTTCAGTGGCGGATTCAAGGGGAGGTGGGAGATTCAAGGGGGACTGAGCCACAAATTTTTCAAAATTATAAATAAAAATGGAGAAAAAAGAAAAAGATTTAGAAGGTTGTGCACCTTCAATAATAGAGTAAACAAAAAATGACAAGACTCACTTCAGATTTGACTTCCGTTGCTGCTGTTGTTGGACCATTCCCCACTGGTTCCATCACATGATCTATTCATAGGAAAAAAAAAGCAATGCGTAAGAAACGCATAAAACTGAAGTTGAATAAAAAATTCAGTTACAACCCACACCATCCAGCCAATGCTAAGTGCCAAGGAAGCATTTATTTTAAAAAAAAAATCAATGACAAGTATTTTTATTTTGCATGAATTGACAGAATACAAAGACATGAATAAAACACAAGAGTTAACACAGTGCAAACTACTACTGTTAAAATTTTAGGTTGTGCTGCTGTATATAATACTGTCATATCTGCCGTGGGTTCATGTCTCAGCAACTCATATTAATTTGATTAAATATAAAAATCACTGTAAAATATCTTTTGAAATGGAAAATAAATGCATTCATATAAAATAAGCAAACTTTCACTCCATGAAAAGACACAAGCAAACCTTGTTGGGTACAAGGTTGCAGATATACAATATGCTGACAAGCACACCCTACATACACACTCACTCATTAGGTTGATGTTAATATCAACTTTTCTACCCAATTATATGGAGATAGCGAGCTATATAAGGAAAATCTATGTAGTATATATACATATATATAAATATACAGAGAAAGAGTGAGAGGAAAGTCTAGTTTTGCAAGATGATCAATGTATACACAATGTTATGGGAGTGTTTAAGAAAGACTACTTTGGTTTTCAATGATTACCCTTCAATCATCTTGAATATATAATGCTTCTGTGAACAAGAACAAAGAAGATATTAATATTCATAGCTGTCATGGTCTCATCCAATCACCTTCCTGTTGGGAATGAATATTTACGATAGTATTTAGGATTAATGGAAATGAAACAGCAGAAAGTGATAGAGGAGGCACATACTTAAGCAGATTATGAGTAGTGGTAGCGGAGTTCAAGGTTCACTGAACATGTACCGTTCATGCATAGAGTATACAACACACACGCACATACACACCCCCACACACACACAGGCATTCTTTGGTGAGTTACAAACTAAAGAAAGTAAATGGTGATCACAAGAATGGTAGATGTAAGAGACTGGATTTAGATGCAAACCAATGTGGTAGTAGAAAAACAAAGACAAACAGAGTCTTAGATCTCTATATTACCAAATACATAATGAGAACAATTTCATAAGCTTTGATTTAAAAGATATGATTCAATTTTAGAAAGTGGAGATATTTGCAAACAATTATGATATATTAAATACAAAATTAAAATGCTTTCCATAGCTTGTGATCCAGTCTATTAATCATTTCTGTCAATTAATTATCTTTCTAGTAAGATGTAATAACTCATCTGAACCGGAATAGGAATTAGTTAATTAGTTTTTGTTGCAGGAAACATAAGACATCTCGCGTTCTACAAAATATGTGGTGGCAATTATATCTGTGCATCGAACATTCGGTATAATTTGTATCTCTCACTTAGGTTAGTTTTGCCATCCATTTGTTGTTACTAGTTTAAATTAGATTACCGAAGAAAAATTCTTTAAATATTTTTTATCAATTGAGTTTTCATAATTTGACAAATTTGTTAAACGTATAAAGCAAAAATAATTAAGCAGCATATTTTGTATAATTCTACAAGCAAATTACATCTTTTAGCTATTAAGGCAGCTTCATTAAAGTAGCTTCGTTAAATGAAATTAATGTGCATGTCAGAATAAAAATTAACAACCAAAAATTATTAAACCTGCCTAATCCCATCTATAAAACTACTTATTTGATCCTAATTACTAATTTGAATAAAATCTTTTTATTATCTTATGTCTTTAAATAAATTACTATCCAAGAATCAAAACTGAACATGTCTTCATCAAAATGACAATAAAGAATTAAAGGATAATTGTTATTAATCTCTTACAAGTTCTTTGAGGGTTAGTAGGTTAAAGTTTAAATCGCATGCTCCAGTAAACACTACAAAAGCTACGATAACACTTAGGGCATGCATATCATTCAGTGTGTTGCATCAATAGGTACCGAATTATGAAATAAATACTAGGTTTATAATCAACCTTTCTCGGTTCACTGCCGACACAATGTACCTGTGGCGTAAAAAAAACACATGTTCTCGGTTTACCATTTATGCAATTATGTTTCCATGTTTTGCAAAAAAACATGGCCAACATTCACCTTACTTAAAAGTATACTGTAGATAGTAGAAAAATAAAAGAAAACAACAATTATGAACAGAGGAGTAATAGTGCAGATTCAGAATGTGATATTAGTTAATCAGTTTCTTTGAAAATCTAACAAAAAAGCCAATCCAACCAAACTGGTTGAAACTTACCTTTTAAGCTACCATCAAAGGACATCTTTGACTTGAAATATTTTTTTATTTAAATATATTTAAATTAATTTATTTATTCACACAAACACTCTGTTGTGTAAACTAACAAATTATGCACGCTAGTATTCATTAACCATGTAAATAATTAGAAAGATTCTTGCAAGAAAATAAGAATATTGAGATGCAACAGATAATTAATGTTACTAAATTTCATTTAAAAAAAACTACACTTAATAAATCAATATGAAGGAAAATAGGTTGAATAAATATAAGATAACTAACACTCTTTGCCTGTTAAAAAATTAGGGTACAACACAACACAAACACTGATGAAGGAAGTACTATCTATAATGCCTCCTTACAGTTACCTTTGGCCTCACCTGCTACTAACAATAATATAAAATAAAAGGGAGCATTCGATTGCAGTAAAATGTAAAACATAATGACGTCACTAAGAAATCATCTGCGCTTGCGAGAACATTAAGTTCTCCTCGTCGCATGGATTCTAGGACGCAAATTGACCAAATGTAAGCTGTGCAGAGAACGTAGGACGGGCATGCATGAGTGAATCTTTTTTAGCGTTGCACTGTCGCGCCAATCGAAACCTCGCTAATATAAATAGTACCCAAACCATTGCATAATGATCTTACTTCAAACCACACATGGAAAGGAAAAAATTACAAATACAAACATATATTGCTGACTGTTTGAGTATGTGAACTAAGGGTAATCAAGTAATTTACACCCATATACAGTATATATATATATATACACACAAACATGCAAGGTTTTGTTAAACAGAATTTGGAAATGAGCCTTACACATCATCACCTTATATCTTATATATAATTATATGTTATATATATATACAAATATATGTATATAAATTTATATAAATATACAAATATATGTATATACATATATATTAGAATACACAAAACAATAAATGATCTATTTTAATGATGATAGGCTAAAAATAAATTGGATTTTCAGTAATGCAAGAAAATAAAAAGAATGGAACTTAACTAACTGATGAAAAACAAGTAATATATAACAATGGAGTGCAGGGTTTAGTATTCATAGTTTTAGTAGCAGAATCAATGCAACAATCTTTAAAATACATAAATAATCTACAGGGGTTAAAAAAGCTGACGAGCAAATCAAAATTATCAGAATATTATTTTTCATAAATGAGTGATTTTTAGAATGCTACAGAACTAAAATTATATTGAATATTGATGAAAAAATAATTAAAAATATACCTAATCATTACATATATTGAGGAATTATGATTGGTTGGTTGATTTGTCAATCAATCAATTGAGAATGGAATTTTTTTTATAAGAGTATTCTGTATTCCATTTTGCTAACTACTTTTCTTTATGCACTGCACAAGCAAGTCAAATAAATAAACAACCAACCAATCAGAAAACAACAACAAGAAAAAGGGGTGCTTCCTCACCAAAACTGCAATAAAACCAGTCTTATATCGTGCTACTAAACATGAAAATTGGAAAAGATCCCAAAGAAATTTGTAATAACCCAGATCTATGCACACGTTAACAAACTAGGAGCATGGGATTGGAAGGCAAACAAAGCTCTAGGTCCATTCACTAAATTATTATCTCTTCACATACAGGGAATATAGTGGCTTTGAGTTGTTTACCATGGTATATTTTCTATTCCATAGTTTTTATCCACCTTTGTTAGTGCTCTGTCTCAATCCACCTACCCAAGTGCCCGTACCCCTTTTACCTTTTACCAACTACTGTAAAACACCCTGTTGGTAATGTTTCTGTGGCCTCAGATTGTCCAAAAGATGCACAAGAAAATACTAGTCAACCCCTGTCCATTAAATGCACAATACAGAACATAAAACTAATATAACGTAAAACATATTTTTCAAAGTAAGATTAACTACTAAATAATAGTTTGACACTATATTTATTAGCAATTTAAATATCAAAGGAAAAGAATGAGTGAGGACGAGATTGGACAAAAGTTAACAGAAAATTAATAAGAAAAGTGTATAAAATAAATAATAATCAACTGAACATAACCACAAATGTAATGAAAACTCATCTAGATGATTGCATGTTAAAGTTAAAAATGATTAAAATAGATTAGCATAAAACTATGAAAAAAAAAATGAATATGTATAACCACAGTTTACAGTCACAATTTGCACCGGCCCAGGATCTGAATTGTTTGGGTCAATTCAAATTTTGGCCAGCTTAACAATTATATTGTCAAGCATATTTTGTGACTCCTGTGATCTACTGAACAGAAGCCAACCTCTTTAAACTCCTTTAAATACCAGTACAGGATCTGATTTGGATGATGATAAGAACAGTTTTATCAACAGGGCAACAACTTGGGTCAGTTTCTGCTAAGCTTTCACATCAACTGAATGACAATTCAATGATGGACTACAGTATTAAAGGCATGTAGTAAAGTTGTACATATCCAGTCAGCACATACAATGGGCACATTTGTCAAGTAATAGTTATAGGAAATATGTAAAAAAAAAACATGGCTTATGCGAACAATAGATTACAAAACATAGTCTACATTGCAATTTTGTCATGTAGCCAAGGTCTTTCTAACTGGGGAGTCCAATATGAATTGCACTTCATCTTCATACGACCACATACAATGTAGTGCTCCCTCATCTTACTTTTAATGAAACCCTCTGTAAGATGACATTGCCACACTGTGTCTTGGTGATAGCATAACTCTACTGATCAAGCAATACTAAGTTAAATTTGAATGGCATCCAGGTGGAGTAAAACACTTATCTTTTGTATTGTGAAAATTTTGTATACCGATTATTTACAATTTCCTAAATCTCCGAAGTTTCTTTTTTATGGGGTCACATATATTTATTACTATTAGCAGGAGATCATAGGTCTGAAGTCAAATTGAACATTGAACGTTCTTTGTGCTAGCTTGATTGCAGAACAGCTAAGTGGCCCTGATGTCAAGAACAATAAAAAATAAATTTAAATATGAATCCAAAAAGTGCCAATACAAAAATAAAAGTGCTGTGAATATTAGATGTTAAATAAAGTGCACTTTTAACTTTGTTCTTGAAATAAGTACAGTTAAGCGCAGTTGAGTCATATGTTAGTCTAAAGAATTCCAAAGACAGTCGAATTTAAGATTTGAAAGCTTTTGATGTTAGGTTCTTGAAGCTGTCATTGACAGGTTTATGGCAGAGATTGCAAAAGAGGCAAATTATGCTTTAAATAATAATTAATAATTACCAAGATCAATAATGTTAGCTGTAAACGAAACAAAATTATTCATTGCCATTGCACTGTAAAAATATATTTTTATTGTTCTTCTGTTGTGGTGTATGTTAATATAGTATGTATTTGTTATTTATCCCCCATATTTATTTATGCAAAGGCTTACATTCTTGGTCTTCCCTCAATTACTCCCAACTTATCTGATTTCAAACTGGCCAAAATCACAAAGATTTGACGTAAGTTACTGGGCACTTACCCACTCCCACTATTCAGCCCTAGTTGGAGGTTTGTCAAATATGTCACAATGCTGTGGTCCAGATGAGTTATACCATATATAATAATATGGATCCATGGTACACTACAATGATATGACTATTGGGAGGGGTGCCTAACAATAACATGGATGGTACAAGGCGCGATGGCATTATTTGGGATTGCTACTTTACAGTGGCATGGCTAAAAAGGTGGACTGCAATGGCTGGGATTTTGGTGCTACATTGTAATACCAAGGTTTCCGTCGTACATTGCAAAGTTAGATTGTTTATTAAGTGATGGTAACAACCTTACTAAGACTAATACCCAATTCACACGTACAAAAATCTTACCAAATGTAACAAAATGTAACCAAAAGTAACATTTTACGGCACGTGTGAAAGTACCTCCGTGTAATATCCTTGTAAAATCTCGGAACGTCTCGGT